GGAGAAGAGCCAAGAGCGGGACCCTACCCAGAGAAGCAGAAACTCAAACAAGTGAAAGAAATGAGAAAGAAAAAGCACTAAACAGAACCTTTCAAAGGACAGCTTGAGAAGACAAAATAAAGTATTATAATGAAAATGTGCAAAGACCTGGAGTTAGAAAACCAAAAGGGAAAGCATACTCAGCATTTCTCAAACTAAAGTAACCAAAGAAAAAAATTCACGCCTTGACTTTCAATCCTGAAGGGTTCTATGGGCAAAATATTGAATAATTTAGGAAGCACTTAAATAAAATTGAAGGATTACACTGAGTCATTGCACTAAAAAGAATTAGTTGATTTCAACCATTTCAAGAGGTACCACATGCTCAAATCAACAACTGATGGTATTGAAGGAAGAAATCCAAGCTGCACTGAAAACATTTGCAAAAAGAAAAGCTATAGGAATTGACAGAATACATACTGAAATCTTTCAACAAATTGATGCAGTGCTGGAATTGCTCACTCATCTGTGCCAAGAAATTTAAAAGATAGCTACCTGTCCAATCAATTGGAAGAGATCCATATTTATGCCCATTCCAATGAGCGGTGACCCAACCAAATGTGGAAATCTTCAAACAATAGCATTAATATCACATATGAGTAAAATTTTGCTGAAAATAATTTAAAAATGATTGCAGCAGTACATCGACAGGGATCTGCCAGAAATTCAAGATACATTCAGGAGAGGACATGGAATGAGGGGTATCACTGCAGATGCCACATGAATCTTGGCTAAAAGCAGAGAATATTGGGAAATGTTTACTTGTGTTTTATTGACTATGCAAGTCACTCAGCTTTGTGGATCATAACAAACTATGGATAACACTGTGAGAAATGGAAATTTCAGAACACTTAATTGTGCTCATGAGGTACCTGTACACAGACGAAGAGTCATTAGAAAAGAACAGAGAAATATTAAATGGTTTAAAATCAGGAAAGGTGTGGGTCAGGGTTGTATCATCCTTCCACCATACTTACTCAATGCAACAAGCTGAAATATATAAAGAGAACTAGAGAAAGACTCATATACAACCTGCGATATACAGGTAACACAACCTTGCTTGCTGGGAGCAAAGAAAACTAAAATACTTACTGATGAAGATGACAGCATCAGTATGGATTGCACCTTAATGTAAAGAAAACAAACAACTGTACAAATAAATTACATAATGATAAATGGAGAAAAGATTGCAGTTGTCAAAGATTTCATTGCACTTGGATTCACATCAACATTCAAGGAAGCAGTAGTCAAGAAATCAAATGACATAGTACATTAGCCAAATCTGCTGCAAATGACCTCTTTCAAATGTTCAAGAGCAAAGAGATCAATTTGAGCACTAAGGTATGATTTACCAAGCCATGGCATTTTCAATCACCCCATTTGCATGTGAAAGTTGGACAATGAATAAGGACAACTGGAGAAGAATCAATGCATTTGAATTACGGTGTTGATGAAGAACATTGGAAATACAATGGCCTGCCAGAAAAATGAACAAATCTGTTTTGGAAGAAGGCCAGATTGCTCCTTGAAAGTGATGTTGGACAGACTTTGTCTCTTGTACTTTGAACATGTTGTGAGGAAGGACCAGTCCTTGGAGAAGGACATCGTACATGATAAAGTGAAGGGTCAGTAAAAATGAGCAAGACAACCCCCCCCCATGAGATGGATTGATACAATGGCAGCAACAATGGGCTCAAACATAACAATTGTGGAGATAACACAGTGTTTTGTTCTGTTGTACATATAATCACTATAAATCAGAACCAACCCAATAGCACCTAGCAATAACAACATGAGCAACATATTAAACAGCACAAGTAGCATGAAAAAAAGATGGAAGAAACACAAAGAGTCACTGTACCAAAAATAGTTGGTTGATGTTCAATCATTTTAGGAAGTAGCATATATATTTTTCAACTATACAAGTATATAAAATAAATTATTTTTTTAATTAGAATTAATGTTTTCTGTAGAATTCCTTGGGTTCCTTGAAGAAGTGTTTTCTTAACACTCTAATTTTATTTAAAAACCAGAATACAAATAAGTCAAAATATTATTATAAGAGATACTATGGAAGGGATGGGCAACTTGGACATTGGCTACCCAAAATTGGGGTGTGAGGGGGCTACAAAGGCAAGAAGTGACTGGTTTACAAGCTTTCAAGAGGGAGCCTAGATCCAGATGGCATGGAAGAAGGTAGAATCTCCACTGAGTAGTATCCAATCTGTCTGGGCGGGGCTGATGAAAGGAGATGCAGATAGGTCTCTTGTGATACAATAGTGAATAATTGTTATCAGGACTGATTGTGAGGGTTGGAAATATAAAGGTAGACGTTTTATAGTGAAAGAAGGGGAGTGACTGACTTTACAGTCTAGGAGCAGAGGTCCTTGGGACCATCAAGAGAGGAGAGCCGAGAGCAGGACCTACCCAGAGAAGCAGTGATGCCAGAGATGGAGGCAGAGACAATGACTTATGTGGAGAAATGGAGCAGCTGGGGACTTTAGACACAGAGAGGGAGAGGGGCTGTGTGCTGATGATCAGGGTGTGGGGGGCAGGCTTGCAGGGTATACCCTTTGGTTGGTTGGTGATGCATGTAGGGGATTGTAACCATGGCAATGAAACGATATACAATAGGATGAATGTAAAGCTAATGTTCTCCCATGTAAAGTATCACATAATTCACAATAAAACATTAAAAAGAGAGAGAGAGATACTGTGGAGTCCTGGTGTGGCACTGTAGGATAAGCACTGGGCTACTAACCACAAGGTCAGCTGTTCAAACCTATCAGTCACACCTATACAGGGTTGTTATGAGTCAGACTGACTCAACATCACTTAACAATAACAACAATACCAGTCCACAATAGTTAAGTATTAGATCTTTCAATTGGTTGCATCAAATTGAAAACAGATATAGAGCTACTGTGGATTAATGCACTAGACTACAAGGTTGGTTTAAACCATAAGGTTTGTGGCTCAAGTTCACCAGCCACCCCTTGGAAATGCTATACAGGATCACTATGAGTAAGAATCTACTCAACAGCACTTAACAACAACAACCCTCAACAAAATTTCATGACGTATTGATCAATTAATAGCTCTTAAATAAAAGGTTTGGGATCTGTGTTTATTTACCCTATGGACTCCTGATAAAGTAACCCAATAACACAAATGACAACCTGTTAGGTACATATTGGCGGGAAACTTTCTTGGGATTGGCAAGGTACTCAAGTCTTTTGGTCAGCAGAGCCTTCAAAGCACTCTGGGAAATAGGACGAATAGGATCTTGATTTCCCCAAAGCGGTTTTCTGTTAAAAAGTAGAAAAGTAAGAAATTCATTGTTAATGAACATGTTAGAAATGACTCTAGACTGTTTCCATCCTAATTTGACTTCCCTTTAAGAACTACCACAATTATAAAATTTTACAATTTTCAGACATTCAGAATGGGTAAACCAATTATAAAAGTTAAAATAAGAATGTTTATCTACTGTCTTGAAATTTGGTGATCAAAATAGAACCTATTAAAGGTAGTTCTATTTCTGCCATCATGTAATCAATATTGTAACTTCTCAGTCAAGTAGGCAAACAATGGGCATGCCAACTATACACACTGTGCTCCCACTCTGGGTGAAACCCATACCTGATGGCCAGAAAATAAAACAGCAACAGAATAATATTACAGAATACTAAAACCAGCATTGTCAACTTAAACTCATACTTTCCACAGAATTCTCAGTGGCTGATTTCTCAAAAGTAAATCAATAGGCATTTCTTCTGAGTCACCTCAGAATGAACTAAAACCAACTTTTCAGTTAGCAGTCAAGCACGTTAACCATTTGCATGACCAAACGTAGTGCTAAATGTTAATTAATTTTGTCAAACCCTAAATTCTGATGATTCTATTTCCTAAGTGTTTCTCAAATCTGTCCATATTTCCTCATCCTGTTGCTACTTCTCTTGTCCTGACTCCATCTTCACACTGCTTCCAGAATGATCTTTCTACGCCCCAGTCTGATCAAGTCACCATCTTGTTTAAGACCTTCAAAAATTTCTATTGCCTGTAAAATAAAGACCAAACTTCTTTTGTGGCTTACAGGGCTCTCCAGAATTTTGATAAACAGTGTCCGCCTCTCCAGTCTGGATTATATAGTGTTCCAGGGAAGCGTAACTCTTAATCTTTTGGAAACTTCCCCTTACATAGTTTAGTGGTTTGGCAAATGAATGACAAATGTTGAAAACTGGGAATTCTCCTAATGGTGACATGAAACAGATTAGAAAGGAGAGAATGACCACAGAAAGAATTCACAGATTCAGGCAATACATGACAAAAGCTAAGTTGTTGTTGTTGTTGTCAGGTGCCATCGAGTAGGAACCGACTCATAGTGACTCCATGCACAGAAGAACAAAACAATGTCCGATCCTGGGCCAACCCCACCACCGCTGCCACACTTGACGCCATCAATGATGCCACTTGGCCAATCCATCTCATTAGGGGTCTTCCTCTTTTTCTCTGACCCTCCACCTTACCAAACATGATATCCTTCTCCAGCGACTGGTCCCTCCTGACAATATGTCCAAAGTATGAGAGACGAAGTTTCGCATGCATATGAGATTATTGAAAACACCATGGCTTGAGTCAGGTGCACCTTAGTCCTCAAGATGATATCTTTGCTCTTCAACACTTTAAAAAGGTCTTGTGCAGCAGATTTGCTTAATGCAATACATCGTTTGATCTCTTGACTGCTGCTTCCGTGAGTGTTGATAGTTGATCAAAAAAGAATGAAGTCCTTGACAACTTCAATCTTTTCTCCATTGATAAGAATGTTGTTTATTGGTCCAGTGGTGAGGATTTTTGTTTTCTTTACATTGAGATGTAATCCATACCAAAGGCTATGCTCTTGGATCTTCATCAGTAAATGTTTTAAGTCCTCTTCATTTTCAGCAAGTAAGGTTGTACCATCTGCATATCGCAGGTTGTTAATGAGTCTTCCTCCAATCCTAATGCCACATTTTTCTTCATATAACCCAGCTTCTCAGATTATTTGCTCAGCATACAGGTTGAGTAAGTATGGGGAAAGAATACAAAGAGTTTCCGAGGAGCAGCTGGTGGGTTTCAACTGCAGACTTTGTGGCTCCCAGTTCAGTGTTGATCCTACAGCATCACACAAAGACTTTAGGCCATAAAAACTAGGAAACAATATGATCTGAATTATACAAAAGACGGAAGATTTGGCTCAAGAAAAGTCAGAAAGAATGGGTTAGTGGAGTGAGAAAGATCGAGGACTACAGTCAAGAAAATTGTGGATGCAAAATTCATTAGGAAGTGGGGATACTAACCAGCATGTTGGGAAGCATATTCTATCGATAATACTGCACTGCACTACATTAGCATAGAAATCCCTTCTGCTTAGCTGTTCCATGGCTAGCAATATCAAGGACGAAGATTTTTACCTTCTATTGGCCACATTGGTAATTTGGCCAGGGTTCTTAGGAGCCCTGGTAGCATAACGGATTAGGAGCTGAGCTGCTAACCGCATGGTCAGCAGTTAGAATCCACCAGTCACTCCGAGGGACCTTATACAGGGTCACTATGAGTCAGAACCAACTCGGTGGCACACAACAACTACCACCACAAAAAAGTTCTTATTCATACCATACCTACTTGATGTATCCGTGGAATGTGATAAAGTCTATACAATCAAAATTGCCCATCGAATGTAACATATGGAACTGTTTGAGGACTCTGGAGGATTTCAGTGTTCAGTCACCTCATTTGAACAGCTAAATCTGTAGTCACTTAAGATTTTCAGGGTCAGAAACCAGGAAGCAGTCCTCATCAGCCCATTTCCAGTGTCTTATTATTCTATTAAGAGTCCTGGGTAGTGTAAAGAGTTAATACACTTGGCTGCCCTCCAAAAGGTTACAGGTTCGAATCCACCCAGATGTGCCTCTGAAGAAATGTCTGGCAATCTACTTCCCAAAAACCAACCATTGAAAATCCCATGGAGCATAGTTTGACCCTAACAAACCTGGAGTCATCATGAATTGGAGTGGACTCCACAGCAACTGTTTCGGTTTTATTGTTCTGAAATTCTTATAATTTCTTCAATTATAATAACAAATATTCATTTGACTTTCATCTTTAAAATGCTTCCTATTACTTGAACACAGAAATTAAGTGCACTGGTGGTGTAGTTGGTTAAGTGTCAGGCTGCTAACCAAGAGGTCAGCAGATGAAATCCACCAGCCACACCAAAGGAGAAAGATGAGGCTGTCTGCTTCAATAAAGGTTCACAGCCTCAAGTTAAAACAAATAATAAAATTACAGCCTCAAAAAGAAAACTCTGTGGGGCAGATCTACTCTGACCTGTAGAGTTTCTATCAGTCAGTATCAACTCAATGACAACGGCTTTGGTTTCTTTTGGGCTGGAAAGAGGTTATCCTTTCTTCACAGTCTTGTCAAACACAACTTATTTTTTTATGTTTCTCATAGGATCCATCCACCACTCATCTGTCAGTTTATTGTACTGTGGTGGCTTGTGTATTTCTATGATTCTGGAAGCTATGCCACTGGTTTCTTAAATGCTATCAGGGTCACCCATAATGGACAGGTTTCAGCTGAGCTTCCCTACTAAGAGAGACTAGGATGGAGAGATGGACTACTTCCAAGTATTTAGTCACTGAAAACTTTATGAATAGCAGTGGACTGCTGTCAGATAGCACCAGAATACTGTCAGATACAGTGCCAGAAGATGAGCCTCTCAGGTTGGCAGGCACTCAAAATGTGACTGGGGAAGAGCTGCCTCCTCAAAGTAGTCAACTGTGATGAACGTAGTAAAGCTTTCAGGACCTTCATTTGCTAATGGGGCACAACTCAAAATGAGAATACCATGCTAGCTGAAGTGGAAGGTCAGCAAAAAAGAGGAAGACCCCCAACAAGCTGGACTGGCATAGTGGCAGCAGCAATGGATTCAAGCTTAACAGCAATTGTGAGGTTGGCATAAGACCAGGCAGTGTTTTGTTCTGTTGCATATAAGATCACTATGAGTCAGAATTGACTCCACAGCTCCTAACAACAGAGGATCCATTTTTATTCTTTGGCTTCTAAGACCCCTTCTTTATCTCTCAGTGCTCTTTCTGTTTACTTAGGTAGCTTCTCTTTTCAACTTGAATATGGATGGGTTCCATTCCCCTCACATTTTTTCAATTATTACTAAATTATACTGATGACTTCCAAAATTAGTATCTTTAAGTCACAGTTTTCTCAGGATGCTGAGCCCATTTCCTAGTGGGAAATTTGGAAATCCATTTCTGAATGTCTCCACTTCCAACATTTTTACTTTATTTCTCAAAACAGAACCTAGAAATCATATTTGACTTTTCCTTTCCCTCAGATTCTTATATTTCATTTGTTATCAAGTCATGTTAATCTAGATCTTGGCTCTACCTTTTCTTTCAAGAACCCTGGTAGCGTAGTGTGGTATATGCTGGGCTACTAACGGAAACATCCACGGTTGGAACCCACTAGCTACTGGGTGGGGGAAAGATGAGGCTGTCTGCTCCCTTAAATATTTATAACCTCGGAAATCCCGGGAAGCAGTTTTACTCATAGGATCACTATGGGTCAGAATCGACTTTATGCTAGTGTGTGGGTTAATACTTAGGCTATTTTTCAACCCCTGTTTTCACACACTTAAGGCTACATTGTATTAGAATAACAACAACACACACAAAAACAGTTTCTACCAAGCGGATTCTGATTCTCCACTAGAATTGCCCTGCATGAAGTTTTCATGACTGTGAACTTTGGGAAGCAGATCGCCCAGCCTTTCTTCCTAAGCACTTTCAGTTAGCAGCCTAATGCTTAGCCATTTGCACAACCCTGAGACTCTTTGTTCTAGGACAGGCCCTGGTTATTTATCTCAGGCATCACTGTAATACCTTCCAACAATCCCCTTAGTTCACCATGCCATCAGAAGGACTGTTCCTTTTTAAAAGTGGCAGCGTTAATGGGCTTTGTAGGCAATGGATGTAGATTCAAATCAACGTTCTGTTCCCTGCAAGCTGGGTGGTCTTAGGTAAGTTACTTAACTTTTCTGAACTCAATTATCTTATCAAATAATTTGATTTTCCACTGGTTTCAAATAGGGATGAGATAGTAGACTATTGACCGTTTTGGCAATACTCTGAAATTAACACATCTCTTATCAATGAGTGCCTTTCATCCATGAATATATGCATGTACCCACTGAGGAGTCCTATTCCTGGCTAAAATTCTATGTGTGATTTCTCAGGCCTTTCCAATGACCTGTTATAGATATCAGGAAGGCTTTACCTGTCAGGCCTCCAGAGAAAAGCTGCCCTGTCCACCCAGACTTGATGCAAAGCCAAAGCATTGCAATTTATGAAGGAAGTTGCAGCCAAGAACACAGACCACCACCCCACCCCCATCTCAGTCATGCTCTTTTGCAAATCTGCATTCCAGCCCATGTGGAGGTCTCTTTTCAGGGGCCTTCCCCCAGAGCCCTTCCTAAGACACCTTTGCTGAAACCGTCTTATTGGGAACCGGGAGGAACCTAGAAGATACATTTCCCTATGCTGACACAGAACTCAGAACTTTTCCAATATTTGCCTTGCCCATCTCTCTGTCCATGAAACTCCAAAAGGCTTTTGTTTGGGAATCTCTCAACAGTGAAAGAGGTCCCCACATCTGCACTGACCCATCTGACCCTCTGGACACGATTCCAAGGGAAATATAGAACAGGGGGGAGTCAGTGTCCTCTCTGGGTTTAGCTTTTTGCTTAGACTCACAGTAAGGACTATCATTTTCATTTGAGATCCTTATCTGAGTTAGCTACTCAGACACCTAACAGCTCACTTTGCTCTCTCAGTTCAGCTCAGCTCAGCTCCCTGACACCCATCCATGAAAAAGAGTGAATTTAAAGCAAATTATGTTTTCAAGCTTCAAAAAGAAGACTTTCAAAAATGTGGGCTTTACTCAGGAGCCAAAGAGCAAAGGGAATCCCATGACCAATGGCTGAAGGACAGAGGGCCCAGCCTGCTGGAAACCCAGAGGAGAAGTGTGCTCCAGGCAGAGACTTAGAGAAAAAGCAGGACCAGGTTTTAGAAGCTGCAAAATTGGACCTGGAGAATAGACACAAGAGTTAAACCCTGGAGTGGTTCCTTTCCAGCTTTCCTACCTATTAGAATTGAGATGCTTTAAAAATTCCCAAAGCCCAGGGTGTATCCTGGACCAATTAAATTATAATTTCTGAAAATAAGTAGTAGCATCAGTCTGTTTTAAAGTTCCCTAGAAGATTCCAATGTGCTGACACGTTAAAGAACCACTGACGTACAGTTACCTTCTCAGGTGCCTACTCAACTAAGTAACAAAAGTGGTTCAGTGGGCTCAGTTGAGCAGAGAGATGAATAGACCTGGAATATAGGGCCAATGGGAAGGTAAAAATAATATTTAATGAAATGGACACAACCATCACTAACAAGACCATATAGCATTGCCTTACCGATCTGGAGTTCCCCATTCTTTTTTAGGCCTAGCGAGGTCGTGGATTCTTTTCCTAGAAAAAGAACTAACAAGGATCAATTAATTGATTAATTCAAAGAGAATGTTTATGCATGCAGTTATATCAGATGACTCCTACTTAAACAAATCCTATCCAGAGTCCTGGTGTGGTGCTGTGGGTTAATGCGCCAGATTGCAAAGCCGTTTGAACTGCAAGGTCGGTGGTTCAAGCTCACCAGCTACTCCTCGGAAACCCTATACAGGGTCACTATGGGTCAGAACTGACTCAATGGCACTTCACAACAACAGCAATAAATGACACTAGGAGTGTGGGCTTTGGGACCACAGTATTTTAACTACTTTGAACTTGTCAGCACCCTTCAAATCACAACAAATTTAGCATTGTTTATTTTTATTTTTGTCTGGATGTTGTTGTTGTTGTTGTTGTTGTTGAGCTTGAACTGCCAACCTTGAAGGTCAAACTGCTTTGCAGTCTGGTGCATTAACCCACAGCGCCACACCAGGACTCCTATTTAGATAGTACTTAATAAAATAAAGACAATAATTATTCCATGAAATTAAGAGTGTACTGTCTACAGAAGATTCCAGGTAAATGGACATTTGTTAACTGGGAAAAATCATCAGTTACCGTATTAATCACACATAGATGGCTATATGACACTGTATTCTGCAGACACTAGTCCTCAAAGTGACATCTTTGCTTTTTAATGTTTTTTTTTTTTTTTGCAGATTTCCCAATGTACTACATTGTTTGAGTTCCTGACTGCTGCTTCCATGAGTGTCAATTGTGACCCCAAGCAAACTGAGACCCTTACCAACTTCAACATTTATCATGGTGTTGCGTATTGGTCCAGTTGTGAGTGGTTTTTGTTTTCTTTATGAGGCATCATCTTGTGGGAATGAGTGTCTTTTCTTCAAAATTATAATCCCATTTATTATATTTGGGTGAATTTTCTTTTACTTTTTGCTACTTGCTGATGTGTTGTTGTTGTTGTTATGTGCCGTGGAGTCGGTTCCAACTCATAGCAACTCTGTACAGGGTTTCCAAGGCTGGAAATCTTTCCGGGAGCAGAAAGCCTCATCTTTCTCCCACGGAACAGCTGGTAGTTTCGAACTGCTGATCGTGAGGTTTGCAGCCCGATTCGTAACCACTATGCTACCAGAGCTACTTACTTGCAGATGTGAGTAGGGACCATATGACCTTTCTTTTTCTTTTTACTATGTCCTGAAGTGAGTTAGAAGAATGCGTGCCTTAGAAATTTGAATTAGCCGACCTGGTAAGGAAAGACTATGCAGCCAAAGCCTTTGTCAATGGGGTGAGACACAGCCTTAAGACTTGCATAGGGATAAAACCTGAGTGGACTGCCTGCTCAGTGTGCTCACTAGCCTATTCCTGTACAGCTACACGCATGCACCCTTCTGCAGAAGTAAACTTTGCCTTGCCGTGGTAATTTAGTCTCACTGAGTATCTTTTTGTGCAACATCAGGATTCATTTCTGACAATTTATATGAAAACTGTAGTCTCAGTAAGTGGTTCAAATCCTCTTTCAATAAGCAAGACTGTGTTGTCTGCATATTTCCATTTGTGAATGAATCTTCCATCAAACCTGAAGCCCAGTTCTTTATACTGTGGTTAGTGAAGCATCTAGTGGTACCCATACTCTGATAAACACTCATCATGGCGATCACACAATCATACCTCATAATTATTTTAAAGGGCTATTAGCAAGTCTTCTATTTTTCTTTTCCATGTATATTTTCCTGAAGGTTGCCAACATTGCTTTTGAATCTTTTACTGAGTTTTGTTGTGTCTCAAGTCCATATCTACACTGATGCTTCTCTTCAGGTGTTTCAATTTCTGAAAATCCTTGTTACCTATTTTTTTATTAGCTTCCTTCATCCTTCTCTCTGTATTAGCCAGGCTTCTTTTGTACTTTTCATTGCAGAAATTTTAAATAAAAGTTTACCCTTCAATTATTGTATATTCCTGTGTTTCTCCAGACAGGGCATCCCTCTCCACAAATACCATTCTTTGGTCCCACCAGTGCCAAGTCAGAAAGCTATTATCTGGAAGGAGTCCATGGAGATCCTCAAGTCTCAGAGTCTATTTGGATCTGAATGTAGCTTTGGATCTGAATCTAGCTTCACATTTTGATATTTGTGTTTAATAAAGGGTTCTATGACATAGTAGCAATACTTTTTGACTTAGCCTTGTAATTCATATGATCCTACTCTCTAGCCATGGCCATTAATATCTAGAAGGGATGAATATATGTCCTCCACCAGAAAGGAAATTTACAACCTCATTCAATAGAAAAATGGCTTTTCCATGACCCCTACTGAAAAAGCCTATGCCAACTTTCCAGGGAGGGTGGCCGGGGTGGAGGAGAAAGAAAGTCATAGTTCCCAACAAAATACCTTATTATACTTCACTTACTAATCTTTGCAAGGAAGTTAGTTTCTGACTTCTATCATCAGTCCTGAGCCAAGATTTTCCCTAGCTACTTTTTCTTCTTCTGCAAAATAATGTTGCTTTTTAAATGCATCATTTTATATCAGACTATTGATAGTTCCCTAGTTTGTTCCTGTGAATACTTAAATTGGGCTTTATTTCCATTGGAAGTAATCTCATTAACACTAGCTAAATCTGTGTGGAAGCCTGACTAATACCTCTGCCTCCTCATTCGCTTGTTTTCTGCATTATGTCACCTTAACTACATCTTCAAGCTAGATATAATAAAGATCTTAATCATATCACAGGCTTCCCTTCTCTCTCAGGAATTGCATTACATCACAACACGTTGTCATGTTCCTGTGCACAAACAAAAGAAATATACTTGAAGGATTTTAACACTTGAAGCTAGGGGTTTTTTTTTTTAATGAGGATTACATTGCTAATGCATGTCTTCATTGACGACTAATCTTTTCTAGTTTGCGAATCACTAAGAAAAATTTTGAATTCCTTAATTTTGGTGAACAGCAATAAATACTCATTTGAATAATTTCAGGTCTAAATTGATGTGGTAATCTAAATAATTTACTTTCAATCAGACAGCTTTTACATTTAACTATTCTTGTTTATAGTCAGAAAATATGCTTTTTATAGCTAATTAGATATGGCACATTTGTTAAATAAAGAAAAACATTTTAGATGATGAAAATAGGTGTAGATAATGGAATAATGTAGACAGCACAATTGTCTCACAGAATCACACCCCAGTAGTGAATCATTTGAACAAAATTTCTTTTAAACCCAAACCAAATCCACTACCATCGAATCAATTCCAACTACTAAAACAAAAACAAAACACTCTTGGCACACCATAGTTGTAGTGTAGTGAATTATTTGTTGTCTCTTCTAGTCTGTAACTCCCATCAAATGTTTTTTGCTCTGCTGGGTCTGGGTAGGAGAAAGTGAGAGAAGGTACTGATAAGATTATGTGGTTCTGTTGTGAGTAGTTAACAGAGTTCATTGTGATTGTAAAGAAATGTAACTGTAACATGTATAAATGAGCCATCTCAGAAGCAGGAGAGAGGATCTCACCACCATAAAAGGAAGAGACAGGAATGGAGTGCGTCCTGTGGACTCCAGGATCCTGGCACATTGAACCTCCTCGACCCGGGGTTGGAAGGCTGTGACACCAGAGGAGTGGCAGAGGAGTAGCAGTAGCAAAGCCAGAAGCCAAAGCATCAATCAGACAAAGCAGCGGACTTCCGGGTCCATAGAACAAGTAAAGCTAAATACCTTTGAGCAGGAGGATCTTTGCAGAGTGGGGTGCCTCCAGGCACTTAACTGAAAGCTACATTTCCTGATCCATGGAGCCAGAACCAAGAACCTTTGGGCTGAGGCTTATGGTGGAGTAGTGTGCCCCTTGGGCGTTTATCAGCAACATTAAAGACGCTTTGTCACATTGTTAGATCAGGGTAGAGGTCAAGCCAAGGGGTTGAGAGTCAAAGAAAGGCCTGACTGTGGGCACAACAGAGGAAAGGCTGTCCTGACTGGAAGAACTGTGCTCTGAGCATTTTCTCATCCTGCATTACAAGCTGTTAATTTCCCTAATAAACCTCATAACTGTCAGTATGGTGTCTGAGTTCTGTGTGGGCATTGCAATGAATTACCAAACCCACTTGAATAGTAAATACTGTGGGACAGATGGTTTGGTACTCTTTTTTTTTTGGCAATAATCCACTAAAAATGTTCTGCATCCTACTTTGGCAAGTAGTGACTGGGGTCTTAAAAATTTGTGAGTATCCAGTCATCTAAGGCAAAACTATTGGTCTCTCCTCATCCAGAGCAAAGAAAAGTGAAGAAAATCAAAGACACATGGAAACAAGTAGAACAAAGGACTAATATACCACATGAGTCTCAGCTTCCAAAACCCTGACACCAGAACTAGATGGTGCCCAGCTACCACTGTGGACTGGAAGGGATCACAATAGAAGGCCCTGGAAAGACGGGAAAAAAACGCAAAATCAGAAGATCTGGCTTACTGGTGTGATAGAAAAAGGTATAAACCCCAAGTTCTTGGCCCTTGATCATCCCCCTCAATCCTGGAACTGGAGTGACCCCCAAAACCCAACTTTTAGCCAAATAATAGGCAGGACAACAAGATGAACAATAACAACAGAGAGGTGTGCACCCTTTAGAACAATTCACCAGATGAGAGGAAACATTTGCCCAGAAACAAAGTTCAGCAGGCAGGAAAGGGTAGGAAAGCAGGAAAAATGTTTCCTTCAAACAGGAAACAAAAGGAGGAAGCAGGATTAGTGCTGTTACATTGTGGGGACTGCAATCAAGATCACAAAATAAAATGCATATGAATTGTTAAATGGAAAACTGAATTGCTCTGTAAGCATTCACTCAAATCACAATAAAAAGTTCAAAAATGAAAACTAACAACAAAAATCCAACACAGTTGTTTTTTTAAAATAAAAAAACTTAATAAGTATGACATTGGTCTACTGGTGAGTGGAGGTGGAGGAAAGTTAGTAATGAAGACATGGCTTGAGTTCGAGCATGCTCCATAGACCCCCATCGACCTGGAGATGAGAGAGAGAAGAGGAAGAGCTGGTTGATCCAAAGTGTGGTGAGACCTGTGGACTCCTGAGCCCACAGACAAGGACTTCAGAGGGCTAGAGCTAAGAGTGAAGCAGCCACCTCTTGTGAGGGGATATGGACAAGAACATCCAAACTTGCAGATAGTACCCATTTGACCTAGCTTTGATGGCTTGATGATCAGAACTCAACAAGGAAGTCAGAGAAATTTGATAAAGGAAACAAGTATAAATTGCTACAATTTGATGAACTTGACCTATAGTTATGGATGCAGTAGTTCAAAATACCAACTGAAAGGGAAGGGGACTTCACTACACAGGGCTGATAGGGACAGGCAGCTTAGATGGCGGCTACCTAAAGTGGAAGGGAGAGGAGGGCTATACAGGCATGAAGTGGCTGGCTTACAAGTTTTCAAAGGGAGTTTAGTTTCAGAGTGTGTGAGGAAAGGTAGAATCCCCACTGAATAGTTTTCATCTTGTTTAGATGGGTCTGGTAAAAGGAGATGGGGATAAGAGTCTTATGATTAAATAGTGAGTAATTGCTATCATAAGGAGCTCTGGTAGCACAGTGGTTATGAATCAGCCTGCGAACCTTAAGGTCAACAGTTCTAAACTACCAGCTGCTCCACAGGAGAAAGATGAGGCTTTCTGCTCCCGTAAAGATTTACAGCCTCGGAAACCCTGTACAAGGTCGCTGTGGGTCGGAACCAACTCGACAGCACTTAACAACAACAATTGTTATGACTAATTATGACTGTCACAACTGTAAAGGTTGAACTTTTGTAACATAAAGGGGGAATAAGTTAATTTTGCATTCCAGAAACAGAGGACCTTAGGACCATGAAAGGAGAAGAGCATGACTTAAATGTGGGACCCTATCCAGAGAAGCAGTGACACCAGAGATGGAGGCAGAGATAATGACATGGAGCGATAGAGCACTTGAAGACTCCAGACTCATGAAAAGAGAAAGGCTGTGTGCTGGCAGCCAAGAGGCAAGCTTGCAAAATGTGCCATTTGATTGTTTAAATGATTATATATTTCTGGGTGTTTATGTGTACATAGGAAAAAAAAAGTGGGGGGGGAGAGAAATAGAAGCAAATACTGTTGAATGATGATACACAGAGGGGATTGTAATCATTGCAATGAAATGAAATACGATAGGATGAGTGTAAAACCAATGTTCTCCCATACAAACTATCACTCAATTCACAATAAAAACTTTCAAATATAAAAATAACCAACTTATTAGGTATGAGCAAGTTTTATCACCTATTTGGTCACAAAAGTGTTTGCTTACTCAGCATATATTATTTGTTTGAAAAAATGTGGTGCTTAGAGTGGAGATAGTAATCTCACTCAGTCACTGGAATACACTCTTAGAAAAATGACATCATTTCCTGAATTTCACTTTCTTCCAGTAAACTAGTTGACTGTTGTTGTGAGGTG